TCTCTCTCTCTCTCTCTCTCTCCCTTCATATCACTTCAACTCTCTTTCTTTTTTGTATCTAATCTATTTTGCACATTCCTACATCCAGCAGATTATACAAACACAAGAGTGATGCTTTCCCTTGTTGAAATATCCCACTGCGTTGAAATACTTGGTCTTGAAATCCACCCTGATCGGTTTGAATAAGATTATAACTTTTCAAATAACAACAACAGCAAACAAAAATATATAAAACCAAAAACTCTCGAGAAAACCAACTGGATTCTCCTTTCATGCTGCATCAGTAAGTGAGCTTTTGTTGTCACTTAACTGTCACTGGACTTCTACTATATGTCTTGAGTAACTAACTACCATTTCAAAATGCCTGCCTAAATCATAACAAGCGTTGTCTTACTAACAACTTTTTTTCTTTTGGTGTTTTACGGCGCTCGCAACTGCATAAGGTCATATGAGCGCGTGGGACACACTAGACTTTTTCAGTTGGTAAGAAATTTTGAATTTTTCCCAGGTGGCGGCCGAAGCCTACTCTTATCGATTTTAGACCACCAAGGGATCTTTAATGTGCGCAACTTGCACACGGGCCCTCCGAGATTTTTTGCCCTTTTCCAAGAAGGCTAGAATCTAGATGTAGATCTTTCCTACCAGAAGATCAGGGGTGTGGCTGAAAGACAGCAGTAAGAGGAGCCAAGAAGTAGCAGTAGAAAGGCTGCAGAAAAAGTCAGGAGCCCATAGGAGGGGGCAAAGGGGGTGAGGGGGTGGGGGCAGAAAGATGAGACGAAAACAGACGACAGAACTTTGCCTGAGAGGAGAACAGGAGGTGAAATGAAACAATTTTAGAGAAGAAAAATTTTCGGTCGCTACCTGGATTCGAACCCGGGACCTTTGAATGAGAGGCCAACACCTTAACCTCTAGGCCACGAGAGCTCCCTCTAACAACTTTAAACTTTACCAGCATTACGTCAACACGGACTAAAAGTCTAAAATTAAAAAAACACACTGTTGACAAGGATTGAAATATTGATCGAAATTGTGTATAGTTTGGTAAGAGTTTTACGGCGTGTACAATTGCATACGGTCAAAGGAGCGCGAGCATGGTACTTAAAGGAAATTAACCATAACCAGTTTTATGTTGAGCTAAAAAGAAAAACTACCCTCAAAATAAACAAAATAAATTTAGAAAGGATATTTGTTTTAAATTCTTTGAAGAAAGCATGGCAAAGAACAACAATTACGTCATCCCCTCCCATCAAAAAATGGCAGCAGAAAGAATTGAGAGGTTAGTCATAATGGGCGTGCATGTGGAGGGTGGGAGGGAGGACGGGAGGGAAGGGAGGGAAGGGGGTGGGGGAGTAAGGCTGTGCCTGTTGTATAAACACCCTAAGTCCGAATCGGCTTACATCTTGGAACACGGTAATGGGAAGGAAAGCCCAAAGAGGCTTTGAGAGCGGCTTGCACTTCCAAATACAGTTGTCCACAAAGGCGGTCAAAATCTCACCATTTAGAACAAACAGCATACTGTGTGGCACCGTGGTGAAATCAGGCGCTCGTCAAAATAATGATCTCGAAGAAACTGACATTTTTTCCACCCGTTGGACAATTATGGAATTCTTTTATTTTGTTTTTCTTCTTCTTTTGCTCAACATCTTTTATGTCCACTTAAGAACACATTCCTGTGTAGATTTTACAAAAAAACAAAACAATGAAAGGCAAAAAAAACCCAACTAATTCTGCCGTTTCCAAGACATTAAAGTTTTAGAAGTAACCAAGCTTTGGCGGCCATTTTTTCTCTAATTTTATCTCTTACACCAAGCGACCCTACCTCCTTCAGTCGTAAAAACTCGACTCCTATTCAAGATAGATGAGGGGGGTTTTTTTCCACCAAAGGCAAGAACAATAAATAATCTTTGATACGATTCCGATAAATCTGGATGCCCAAAAATTGACGAGCGCCTGGTTCCATTGCGTCGAAACACACTTATTGATGAAATATAAGCTAATGCTCATTTCCTTTCCTCTGAAAATGGGACTCTGCCCTGCAGTTCCCAACAAATTTGCATTTCCAGTTTCAGTGACTCATTTTAGTATTTGTTCATCTTTTTCACATCTTTTCCAGTAGCCTGCGCTTCATGCCTATTATGTTGGTACTTGTGACGATGTCTTCACCTCCTGACTTTTGCTAAGACGTGAATCCACATCGTTTCAAGAAGTCACAAATAATGGATAATTACACCACTTATCTATAAACGAATTTCTCATCTTTGTCATGTCTGTCTCTGAATCTTTCCCTCCTCCCTCCACCTTCTCTCTCTCTCTATCTCTATCCCTCTCTCTCTCTCTCTCTCTCTCTCTCTCTCTCTCTCTCTCTCTCTTTCTTTCTCTTTCTCTCTCTCGCTCTCTCTCTCTCTTTCTCTTTCGCTCCCCCCATCTATCCCTCTCTTTTTCTCTCTTCCTATTTTTATACAAACACATAATGCACATAGAGTGA